CCGGGAGAGAACGTTGGGGGGTGTGGGCTCGGGGCGGGGATGCATCGACGACCCCAAATCGCCCCAGCATCGCCGACGGGGCGCCGAGAGCTCACCCCGCCCAGGAGCATGCGGATTCGCCATGGGGGCCTCATCGCCGACCTATTCGGCGATGCATGTCGCCGAAGCAGGCTCGAGGCTTCCCCCCCTTGAGGCCCTTGAGCCAGTCCCCCCTTTCTCTTTAGCCTGGCGCGGGCGGCCGAGATGGCTCCTGGCCAGCGACCAGACGGACTGGAAGATAGGCGAGCACAGCGCAAGCTTCCCCGAGTGTTCGGAAGTTGTTCGAGGTTTTCGAGACTGGGGGTGGTCCCCAGCAGCTACGCCTCGTCGAGGGTCTTCTGGGGCCGCCAGAATCGAATCCTCCCGAGCAACCGCTGCACGCCGGAATCATTGTGGCCCGAAAGCCAGACATCCGCAACTGAAGTGGATGACGGGAGCAGGAAAGTTGGCACAGGAAGAGTCAGCAGCGCGTTACACATGCAGAGTTTCCTCATCTGCCCGCTCCTCTACAGCAATCGGAAGAGCGTTTGGGTCCCAGATTGTTTTGATTTGTCAGACCTTTCTGCCTGATCATCCTCATCACCATGTTTCTCATATCCACATGCTCCTCCGCACTCCAACCCTTCTTTGCACTCCCTTCCCCGCCTCTTCGCGAGCGCGCACCTGAGCATCCCACCAGCCCACAATCTTGTTACCCCCCCCGCCTCCTGTTCCCCCTTCCCGCGACAAACCCACCGCGAATCTGGCTAGCGGGAGTTGCGATCAGCTCCTGCCCGAGTCATCCGCCTCCCCAGTCCTCCCTCCTTCTCCCTCCCCTCTTTGCCTGCGCTGTGCCCACTTCGTCTCTGAAGGACGAAAAGGAGCTGCAGACAACTCATGGCTCCCGAGTTCCGGGAACACGAGGCCGATGCGTCTCCTGTCAGCCTTGACGACAGCCCCCCCTGCGTCTCGGGTGTTCTCGCCCGGCCTTGCGCGCAGAGAGGCGCGCCAGCGCGCCAAGTCTGTCTGACGCGGCAGCTTCTCTCCCACGCAGTGGCGCACATTTGGGCCGCACCCCTTCCCCGCTTTTGGGGGGTCCTCTCTTCGAATGAGCAAGCAGCAAGCACCCCCACCCCTCCCCACGTCCCCCTCTCCTCCCTGCGGCCTCCTCCCGAATCCCCTTCCCCTCCCCTCTCGCCCGCCCCTGGCTTCTCGCTTCTCGGTTTCTCGTCCGCGGCGCTCGCGCACGCCCAGGCCGGGGGAGCACTGGCGGGCGCTCGGCGCCGCCCAGCACAGCGCAGTGGAGGCTACCCCTGCGCAAGAGTCGTTGGGTGGGCTGATGGCGGCAAGAAGCCGACACCCTTCCCCCCTTCCAGGAGGGCTACAACGTAGCACCAGGACCTCGACGTCTGAGTCCCTGTCGAGGTTTCCGGCAGGCCAGAGATAGGTCTCTAAGTCTGGAGGGCGATATGTTGGCACTCTGGACGGTCGGGGTCTCCCCTTGACGTTCCCTCTCCCCCTCTCCCTCCTCCGCCCCCCCCCCTCCCTCCCTGACCTTCCAGAGTGCTAGAAATAGACCTATCTGGGCTGCCTAAAACCTCGACAGGAATTACGATATCGTGGTCCTGGTGCTATTTTTTAGCCCTCCTGAAAGGTCAGGGCTTTCCTCCCCCCCCGCGGCAGACGCCCCCCGGCGGCAGACCCCCGCGAGGAACCTGGCCAGCGGGAACTACAAGCAGCTCCTGCCCGAGGAGAGGCTCTCGGCCCTCACGAGGAAGCCCCCCCCCCCCGGCCGGGCGAGCCCCCCCCCCCGAGGGGGAGCGCGGGGGGCGGCTCCGGCCCGGCGGGGCGTCGGCGCGCGGGCCGCGGGCGCGCGCTGCGGGGTCCCCCTTGCGCGGCGAGGTCCGCTGCGGAGGATCCTCGGTCCGAAGATGGGGCCCCGAGCCGGGGGATGCACTATAGAGGCGGGAGAGGTACGGTCGGACTGGGGCATGAGACCCAGGTCGCTTCGGGTAGGGTGCCCTAGTGTTCTTCGTGCTTGTTGGATTCGGGCCGAACGAAAAGGGGGGATAGGGAAAGGGGGGGAAGTTACGAAATCTGCTGCATGCAGCCGGTTTCAGCCCCACCGAGGGGCCCATTCCTCGACACATGGCTGCCTCCGGTGCCGGGAGGCGCTGGGAAAATCAGCTACGGGAGCTGATTCTCAACCCCCCCCTTTGCGATCCCCCTCCTTTCGCCCGGCCCGATGCATGCTCTTGTGCATTCTGCAAGGGCGCCCTCGAGTGCGCGAAGTTATTCGCGCTTCGCGCTTCGCGGTTCGGCTCCGATTCCTCCTCATCCTCCCCTTCTACCCTGGGAGGCGGCGCGAGAGCGCGAAGTTATTCGCACTTCGCGCTTCGCGCAGCGCGAAGCGCGAAGTTGGGAGCCCTTGATTCTGGGGAGGGTATTCCTGGCTGTGCTGTTTGTTTTGGCCGACGGAGGGCCTCATATTCTCGAAGGATGTGCTTCTGGCCCGGGTCCGACGGTACCCCCATATCGGGGGAGCGTAAGACCTGGGTTTGCCAGGACTCGGGTTCGCCATCCTTTTTTGACGACCGCGTCTCGGATTTTGACGAGGAGGAGTTTCGTGGGATGTCTGCCGCGGGAGGCCTCGTCAAAATGCAGGCTCGGCCTCGTCATTTTTTTGACGACCTCGTCGGGGATTTCCGAGTCCCCCGTACCCGGGTCTTACGTCTCCCCGATTGAAGGATGTGCTTCTGGCCTAGGTCCGACTGTACCCCCATACTGCTACCCTCCCCTCGCTTTCCCCTTCGGGGGCCTTCTGGGAGGCCCTCCTCGCCGCATGTGGATTCGCCTTGACATCTTGGCCAGCACGCAGCCCAGGACAGGTCGGGGGGGTAGCGGTATCGGCACCTTTTGCCCTGGCCTTCCAGAGTGTTAAAAAATAACCCTCCAGACCTATAGACTAAAACCCCGACAGGAATTGAGATGTCGAGGTCCTGGTGCTATTTTTTTAGCCCTCCTGGAAGGTCAGGGTGGTATCTCCAAGGGAGCCTTTATCAGACAGCCGTGGGCGTTTACTGAACAGCCCTCCCCTGTTCGATCCCTTCCCCATGAGGCGCGTTTTTGGGAAGGCTTCGCTCGCCGGGGTGCTTTTTATCAGGAGGGGGGGTGCTCCTGCCCGCGAGGGAGGAGTGCGGGGTCGTAGCAATGGCATGCCGCCGTTGGGAGCCCATCGGCGTGCTGCTCCTTCCCTTGTGTCCCAAAGCCCGGTGCTGCGCCTGCAGTGGCGCCCTGAGGGGTTCCCCAGGTCGGCGTGCCAGTGGTATACGCCGATCGTTGAAAGTAGGCGTGCTTGGATCCCCAGATCCCAACATACTTCCAGCGCCTTCCTACTTCAGGAATCGATCTGCTTGTGAAGTGTTGTGCCACTCTCTGGGAGAGGGCCTGACGCCAATCCACTTCCTCAGCCTTCCTGCTTCAGACTTTGCCCTGCTCCCTCTGACCGACGTGCACTGTTCTCCCGCCCCCCGGCAGCGATAGGAAAGGGCTTCCGCAGGTTGGTTTGCACCGTCGAGGGCCTCCTGGCCCCACATGGCTCGGGGGCGGAAAAGAGGGGGGTGACGACTAGGGGGGGTTGGATATCATGGCGCGGGCCATGATATCTCCGCAGATTTCATGGCGCCTCGTTCTTATTTCATTACGTCCCAGGCCCCCCCGCTGGGCCGCGCACATGCCGCCGGTCATGATTTGCACCCCCCCCTCTTGGACACCCCCCTCTTGGCCGCTCCCGAATGGCCGCCTTGCCTCGGGGGGGCCCGCCTCGGAAGTGCCGAGGGGGCAGGGGCAGGGGGACCCGCGCACGCGGCGCCTCGGGGAGAGCGGCGAGGGGGCCCCCGCCCCCGCGGAGGCGCTTCCGTCGACGGCACGCAGGATCGGCCCTTCGCCGGAGTGGCCTCTGGTGCGGGCCCACCGGGGCCCCCCCGATCGCCGAGCGCGATGCGGCAGCAGCGCCCTGCGCGCTGGTGATGGATCCCCTCGCGGCCCCAGAATGCCGCGCACCAAAGGTCGCTCTCAACCGCTAACGGTCTTTAGTTTTGGTCCCCCCCTTCTCCCTCGGCGGTGAATAGGACTGGTCCTTCAACCTCCTGCTCCTCTTCCTCCTCCTCCTCCTCCTCCTCGTCCTCCTCCTTCTCCTCGTAGTCGTAGTCGCAATCGTAGTCGTAGCTGTCGTCGGCGTTGTTGCGGGGCGGGTGCCGCAGAACAAAACTAAGTACTTACCCCCTTATTGGTGGGACCCCAGTCCTTCCAGTCCTTCGATAAGGCCGCCGAGGAAATAATTAGTCACCCCCCATTTGGGGGGGGGCTTCCAAAGAGACCTCACAGGGCTACTCAGGGCCGTCCGTTTTTGCGTGTAGCCGATGCCAGCGGGTGGAGTCCTCTCGCTTGCCCGCTCTCTCTTGGGGGGGGGAACGGAGCGCCCAGGCGCCTCCGCGGCCGCCGGACGTGGAAACGCGCGGCCCTCGGCCGGCCGCGGCGCTCGCCGCGCAGCGAGGGCCCGCTGCGGAGTTCCACGGCCCCCGCGGCGTCAGGGCTGGGGGCGGTCAGGGGCAATCCCACCGCAGAGTCGCTCCTCGGGGGCCCTATAGCCAGAGTTACGGTCGGCCCGGATTAGTAAGTCGACCCTGCCAAATCAAGGGTACTTTACCTCTGTGTCCTGCGTCTCGCGACCCGTGGCTCCTGCATTCCTGTGGCAATGTGGCCCCCGGGAGGACCTGTTGTCCTCTCGCGTCTCCTGCCCAACGACGTCCGGCTGCTCCTCGGACAGCCGTTCTCCTGGAGCACTCGGGCCTCCGGGAGTCGGGCGGGATCCCGGCCCCGTCCTGCGGGACTCTGCCGCAGACGCCGTGGCGGAGGAGGCGCGAGAGGAGACGTGCCCGCCCCGCACGCGCGCGCGCGCCGCGCTGGGCGCGTGCCCCTGCCGTGTGCCTCGCTTCCTGCCCTGCAGAGACGCCGGGCTGCGCCCCCGCCGCCCGCGCTCGGCGCTGGCGCCCCGTCCCGACGCCGTCCTCGCCGCCGTCGGTCGCCACGTCGCGGGAGAAAGTCGGGCCGGACGAAAGGGGGGACGATTTGGGAAAGGGGGGTTACGAAAGTTGCTGCGTGCAGCTAGCTGGTTTCGGCCCCACCGAGGGGTCCATTCCTCGATACATGTGCGCCTCCCGGCGCAGGGAGGCGCCGGCCAAAATCAGCTACGTGAGTTGATTCTCAAACCCTCCCTTTGCTATCCCCCCTTTCGCCTGGCCCGAGAGGAGGGTTTTGGCCGTTTCGGGCCGGGAACCTTCCTGGGACCCGATGCCGTCCGAGAGCGGCTCAGGGTGCAAAACTGGTCCTGGGGACAGGGTCGGGACTTCGGGGGGCCCCTTTACGGAACAAAACATATCCTGACATCGCATGTCCGAGCCCGCGGCATCGCGGGCCGGGCCCCTGGGCCGCGATCCCGCGGATACGGAGCGTTTGCTCCGCGCATGCCCCGCGCAGAACGCAGCCGTGCGACCGCGTCTCCGCGGGACCGCGCCTCGGAGTCCAGGCCCCGAGGACGCCGCTACGGACGTCGGTCGTCGCCTTCGCTCGATGTCTGCATGTTCAAGGGGGCCTTGGGCGGCGACGCTGAAATCAGATTTTCCTGCATTTGGACCGTGTAGGGACCGCATTTGGCCCATCCTCCTGCTCCTCCTCTCCCCTCCTGCTCCCCCCTTTCCTCCCCGTTCTTCAGCCCCCGCGAATCCACTCCAAATCTGGTCCAAATTTGTTCCACATCCGGTCTTAATCAGGCCCGAATCAGACAGCGCCGGGGGCCACGCAGGCTCCCATATGGAACGGTTCGTCGCCCTCGCCGCCGTGGCCGCACTTGGGCCGGGCCGCCCGGGCCGGAGGACGATGGCCCTCTTCCCGGGGCACGTCGAGGCGCGGCGCCCGCGCCGCGCGGGGGGGGGCGGCCGCGGGTCGCGCTCTCGGCAGCTTCCGGCACCCCGCCGGCCTGCAGCCGCCCAGCCGAGCTCTGTGAGTCGGGCGCGGCCGCCCGTTCGCGCTGCGCTCGGTGGGCCGGCCTGCTCCCTCCCTCCCTCCCTCCTGCCTCTCTCGGCCTCTCTCCTCCCTCCCCCCTCCCGCCTGCCTCCCTCTCCTCCTCCTCCTCCTCCTCCTCCTCCTCCTCCTCCTCCTCCTCCTCCTCCTTCCTCCTCCTCCTCCTTCCTCCTTCCTCCTTCCTCCTTCCTCCCTCCTCCCTCCCTCCCTCCGCCTCTCTCGGCCTCCCCCCGCCTCTCGCCTCCCTCCCTCCTGCCTCTCGCCTGCCTCGCGCACGCGTGGGTGGGGGGGGGGCAGTCGCTGGCCTCTCGCGGAAGCCAGCACGTCTGTGCAGGAGCTGCCCGTGCCAGCAGCACAGGCTCTTGCAGGAAGCTCCGCTGTTGCCCAGCAGTTGCGTCTCACCTCTCCCCGTTCTCTTCCTTGATTCATCTCTCTCTCTCTCTCTCTCTCTCTCTCTCTTTAGTCCTTCCTTCCTTCCTTCCTTCCTTCCTCCTTCCTTCCTCCTCCCCCTCCCCCTCCTCCTCCTCCTCCCTCCTCCTCTCTCTCCTCCTCCTCCTCCTCCTCTCCTCCTCTCCTTCTCCTTCTCCTTCTCCTTCTCTGTCTCTCTCTCTCTCTGTCTCTCCTCCTCCTCCTCCTCCTCCTCCTCCTCACCCTCCTTCTCACCCTCCTCCTCCTCCTCCTTGCTCCCTCCTGGCTGCTGGCAAAGCTGATTTGGGTAGCCTGCATGGTCCCACTTAAGCGAGGTGCGCGCACACCCGCACAGCGCGGTCTCTGGTAGGCCAACGCCAGCCAGCCCCTTCAGCTCGAACAAGTGTTAGTCGGGCGCATCCCTCTACAGGAGGAGTATTCGAAAATAGTCTAACACAGTCAGGGGAAGATGTTTTGATTGTTGTTTAACTATGGTTGATTGTTGTTTGACTAGTTTGATTAGTTCCTCCAAAGTCCGCCTGTAGGAGGACATGCCCGACATTGAAACTGGCATGCTACAGGCGCAAGCCTGCTGGAGTCAACACAAGTCCTCATTCCAAGAGTCTCCCAATAAAGCATCTGATTGACATATCCAAGAAATTGCACACTGCGGTGTTACGTTGTGCCATGTGCTTCCCAACCAGCGACAGTGTTGTGGACATACCATTGTTCTGTTTCCCCGTTGAGGGCATCATTATGTTCGGCATGGCGAAATTTTGAGGTGGATTGGTCGAACATCATCCCTCAGGCGAAGTATCGAACGCTGCCCTTCTTCATTCGGCAAGGGCGTCGGTTAAAAGTGCCGCGCGACAAAAATAAGAAACTTTGTCCCTACCTAGGCTCTGCCTAGAAGGGTTCTTACCCTCTAGCTTAAAGGGGCCAGGCAGTGGAAAGCGCCCCGGGCGGTTCCCCCAGTCCCCGCCCCGCGGTTCCCCCAGTCCCCTGGGTTAGCTTTAGTTTTAGCTTTAGCCTTAGCTTTAGCTTAGCTTTAGCTTAGCTTTAGCTTAGCTTTAGCTTAGCTAGCTTCAGCTCAGCTTCAGCTTAGCTCTAGCTTAGCTTTAGTTTAGCTCTAGCTTAGCTTTAGCTTAGCTTCAGCTTAGATTTAGCTTAGCTTTAGCTTAGCTTTAGCTTAGCTGTAGCTTAACTTCAGCTTAGGTTTAGCTTAGCTTCAGTTTAGCTTTAGCGTAGCTTCAGCTTTAGCTTTAGCTTAGCTTCAGCTTAGCTTTAGCTTAGCTTTGGATTTAGCTTAGCTTTAGCTTAGCTTCAGCTTAGTTTTAGCTTAGCTTTAGTTTAGCTTTAGCTTAGATTTAGCTTAGCTTTAGCTTAGTTTTAGCTTAGCTTTAGCTTAGCTTCAGCTTAGCTTCAGCTTAGCTTTAGCTTAGCTTTAGCTTAGCTTTAGCTTAGCTTCAGCTTAACTTTAGCTTAGCTTCCGCGTAGCTTCAGCTTAGCGTTAGTTTAGCTTCAGCTTAGCTTCAGCTCAGCTTTAGCTTAGCTCAGCGTCAGCTTTGCTTTAGCTTAGTGTTAGCTTGAGCTTCAGCTTAGCTTAGCTTTAGCTTAGCTTCATCTTAGCTTTAGCTTAGCTTTAGCTTAGCTTTAGCGCAGCTTTAGCGCAGCTTTAGCTTAGGTTTAGCTTAGCTTCATGTTAGCTTTAGCTTAGCTTCAGCTTAGCCTCAGCTTAGCTTTAGCTTAGCTTTATAGCTTTAGCCTAGCTTTAGCTTTGCTGTAGCTTTAGCTTAGCTTAGCTTCAGCTTAGTATCAGCTTAGCTTTAGCTTAGCTTTAGCTTAGCTTCAGCTCAGCTTTAGCTTAGCTTTAGCTTAGCTTTAGCGCAGCTTCAGCTTAGCTTTAGCTTAGCGTTACTATTACTACTAATGTTGCTTTCCTAGGGGTTCCAACTCCTAGGTAGGGTCGCACTGGGATAATTTTCAACATGGGTGTTCTGCCCCTCCCCCGCCTCCCTCCGCCTCCCTGATTACTCCCTCCTCCCTCCTCCCCCTCCTCTCTCCTCCTCCCTCCTTCGACTCGTCCGACGAGGACACAGATTCGGCGCGAGGATTCGGATCCCCGTGTGTGCACCTAATGTTCTTCTAGCGCAATCCATTGGTGTCTGTGCAACAGCGAGTCTCAATGTGAGAGGGTTCGGATATGAGTGGCTGTGTATGAGTCAGCCGGTGTGGAACGAGTCTGAGGGTACGCGGTTGGGCAGACTTTGAGGGTACGCGGTTGGGCATGAGTGACTCTAAGTATGAGTAGGTCTGAGCATGAATGAGTCTGAGTGTGGGTGAGTCTGAGTGTGAGCGACTGAGATAGAGCGCCTCAGTACGCTTGAGTCTAGATATGCGATGGGTGTGGGGAATAATGATTATCATCGTGAGTGCGTGTGCGGATGAGCGCCTGTTACCATCCAGACTCCGACATACGGACCAGGTTGGGTTCGGGAGGAGCTCTGGTTTCCGGGCCCTTCCTCTGACCCAGCTCGGAGAACCTGCTCGTGGCCAGCGCTCGCGGTGACGCTTCGTTCCCCATTCAGCGTTCCCTGTGTGTGTGAGAGAGGGAGCGGGGGGGAAGAGGGAGAGGGAGAGAGAGAGAGAGAGAGATGATTTGGTATGGGCATGGGTGCTTCTGAATATGAGTGAGGCTGGGTGTGAGCGAGTGTGAGTCTCGAATGAGTTGCTCTGGGAACAGACGAGTTGGGTACGAGTGAGTCTGAGTGCGACAGTGAGTCTGAACACGAGTGGGTCAGAGTGTGGGTGGGCTGAGGGCGAGTGAGTCAGAGCAAGCGGGAGGCCGAAGAGAGGAAATGGAGTGAGGAGGTGGAGGCGTGACACACACACACACACATACATTTTATACACATACATACATGCAAACATACATACATGCATGCATACATACAAGCATTCATAACTACACATACGCATGCATATACGCACACACATACACACATACCTACATGCATGCATGCATGCATGCACGCATGCATACATACATACATATGTACATACATGCATACTTGCATGCATACATGTACCCCTGCATTCATACATTTACATACATACATCCATAGACATACACCTACACATGTACATACACCTACACATACACACATACACATACAATTACGTATACATATACATGTACATAGACATATACATGTACATATACATATACATATACATATACATATACATATACATATACATATACATACATACATACATACATGCATACATACATACACACATACATATGTACACACAGACACTCACACATACATACATACATGCATACATATATACATAGGTGCATTCATACATGCATGTATTCACGCACATACAGATGTACGTGCATGCATGCGTGCATGCACGCACACAGACATATACGTGCATGCGGCCATGCATGCACGTACGCATGCATACACAGATGCATGTATATCCATACATCCATACACACATAAATACATACATGCATACATATCTGTGTATATATATGTATACATGCATTCATACACACATACAGTATACATGCATACCTATACACATACATATGTACACACATACATGCATACATGCATACAAACACACACACGTGCGCATGCACATTCACACACATGTACACATGCACATGCATCTGCATACACACATACATACATACATACTTATGCACAGGTGTATGCATACCCATAGACATATACATGTTCATGTACAAAAGCGTATACATACACATACACATTTACATGTGCACCCATACGTATATACATATATATATATATATCAACGTATCGATCACATGAGCAGCTGCATTCTTAGGATATGTGGGACAATGAATGGCTGGAGCAGAGGAGACCTGGATTGTGCTCGTTGCGTTCGGTGTCGGTGGTCCGTTGCACGGAGCCCGAGGGCCGCCGTGCAACAGCATCACAGTTTCTCATATTAGCACAGAGAGCGCTCGCCATAGTGCTCCAGAGAAGAAAAAGGAAGTAGTTTACAGGGTGCTTTGGAAAGCACCGACGGGAGACAAGGAGGGAGACCAGATGAGATATCAACAGCGAGACCGTAAGGGAAATCATGAGGGGGAGACCACGAACCACCGATCCCGGACTTGCAGGACCTCGCACCCAGGCTGCATGAAAGATATCCAGGGCCCACGCAGACCAACATGTGGCCAGAGATAGTTCGAAGGTGAAATTGGTCCAGCACCCGTTTCCACCAGAACCCGTTTCTTTCATGCCAAGCGTGGGTGGGGGCATTCGGAAGGGACGTGCCTCGAGTCCACGTGTGCGCCGTTGGAGATTCGGGGCCGATTGCAAGAAGAGTCGCGTGTAGGTTGCCCGCGTAAGGTTCCGCGTAAGCGCCCTCCTCTTCGTGGCGTGTCGCGCCATGGACCAGCGCAAAGAACCGCCCAATGTCGTTCAGTC